TGTTCTCCAGGGCCAGCTGCCCCAGGGCCGCCAGCACGTGGCTGGGCGGGTGGGAACCCACGATGTCCTGCACGGGCAGGGAGGTGGCATGAACCACAGCGGGGAGTGGGGGGAGGGGCTCTCTGCAGCAGGCAGGGCTGGTCCAAGGCCCCAGGCGGCGCTGTGTTGCAGGGGGCAGGGTGGGGGCTCTCCCCAGCAGGCGTTCTCCAGGGCCAGCTGCCCCAGGGCCGCCAGCACGTGGCTGGGCGGGTGGGAACCCACGATGTCCTGCACGGGCAGGGAGGTGGCATGAACCACAGCGGGGAGTGGGGGGAGGGGCTCTCTGCAGCAGGCAGGGCTGGTCCAAGGCCCCAGGCGGCGCTGTGTTGCAGGGGGCAGGGTGGGGGCTCTCCCCAGCAGGCAGGGCTGGCCTGGCGCCCCAGGTAGTGCCAGGAAGTGCCCAGCTGCCCCTCCCACAGATGGCTGCCCTCAGCGCTGGGCAAGCTGTCCCCATGCAGTGTTATGTGCAGCTGTTCCCAGCTGCCCCAGCCCAGAGGTGGCTGCATCTCTGCACCAGGCGAGCTGTCCCCAGGCTCACTCCCACGTTACCTCCACCTTGCTCAGCCAGTGCTGGTAGGATGAATCCAGCGAATCCTCGCTCATCCCGCTGCTGAGAGAGAGTGAGAGATGGGAGGAGGGGGTCAGAAAAGGAGCAGGTGTGAAGGGGCCTGGGCCGGGGCAGTTGCGGGGTCTTACGGGAGGGTCCCAGCCGTGCTGTGCTCAAAGAGCGACTTCAGGAAGTGGAAGCGTAGCTGGCAGGCCGTCCGCACGTCCCGCTGCAGAGAGACGGACAGACACGAGGACAGGTTACTGGGCAGGGTGGGGAGCAGACGACAGCCTCCAAGCTGCAGATCACCAGGGATCGCTGCGATTCTGCCCTGCAGCGACCGACTGACTCCTCCCCCGGGGACCACTGGACTGCCCAGCAGCCTCTCTCTGTCCCAGCTCCAGGGTCAGCCTGACTCCCTCCTTGTCCCCGAACACCCTCCCCGCCCCTCCAGATCCTTCAGCGGGCTCCCTGGAGTTCAGATCATCTTGTCTTGTCCTGTCTCAGGATCACCAGATTCCCCCCACAGGATCACAGTGCTGGAACCCCGTAAATCCACCCCTCAACACAGGACATTCCCAAATCCCCTCCTCCCCTCCGCAACTCACCAGCACTTCGGGCTCCATGCCACCGGGAAATCCAAGGTCGGACACTTTCCCTCCCACCGGCAGCTCCACCTTGGCCTTTCTGCAGAGACCAGAGGGGCCGTGAAGATGGGACATGGGGGGAGCACAGTTCAGAGCTCCCAGACTGTAACCTCAGCCGGACCCTGCCAGGGAGCAAAGCATCCTGGGACAGACCACCCTCGGGAGCAAAGGATTCTGGGGGATGCTGCCAGCACAGCAGGGACCCCGCCCCTCCATACACACACCTGCTGATGTCCTGCAGCTGCTCCAGCCGTCCCCCCAGCTGTGCCACGCTGCCCTGCAGACGCTGGCGCTCCTTGGCCGCACGGGCTGCATAGGCCCTGAGCAGCAGGGAGCGGCGCTGTGCGTCCCGGATCCGCTCCTGGGTCCCCTCCAGGGAGGCCTCTGGGGTGGGAGGAGAAAGAGCATCAGGGAACCTCCAGACGCTAATCGCTAGGCCCCTCTCCCCTCCCAGGAGGAGGTGATGGGTGTGACACCCCCGGGTGTGGGGAGTGAGCCGGGGGAAAGCCGGCATTGCCAGGGCCCTGGGAAGAGACCACATGGGGAGACGCTGCCCCCCAGGATGGCAGGGCAACAACCCTTCTCCCAGGAAGAAGTGGGGGAACATGCATCTGCGCTGAAGGGGGACAGATGGGAACTCCTCTCCCCTCCCAGGAGGAGGTGATGGGTGTGACACCCCCGGGTGTGGGGAGTGAGCCGGGGGAAAGCCGGCATTGCCAGGGCCCTGGGAAGAGACCACATGGGGAGACGCTGCCCCCCAGGATGGCAGGGCAACAACCCTTCTCCCAGGAAGAAGTGGGGGAACATGCATCTGCGCTGAAGGGGGACAGATGGGAACTGTGGGGTGGATTTTGTGCCCCAGGGCTGGGGGCACAGACTGTGCTGCCCCCCCCCCCCCCCCCTCGGCCCCCCCCCCCCCTGCCACTCCGGAGAACAGATGAGTCGCTTCTGCTCCGTCTGTGACTCAGTTTCCCCTTCTGCAACATGGGGAGAAGCCACCTGCACCTGCCTAAATCCGAGCCTGAGCGGCCCCTTGCCCCAGTCCACTCCCAGCCCGCGTGGGACCCCGCCACGCCCACACAGCACGGCCACGGAGCCGCAGGAGAGCCCAGGAGCCGGGGGAGGTGGGTGCTGGAGAGATTAACGATTATCCCGTGACCTTCACCCCGCGGCCCCGGGGCCCCACTCACCACCAGGAACGACTTGAAGATTTCGTCCGTCTTAAGCTGCAGCAAGTTGCCGACGAAGGGCAGGGGGGTCGGCCCGGGGGGCAGCGTCCCGCCCTGGTGCGATAGAAGCCAGCCAAGGGTTGGCAAAGGAATCAAACCTGCTCCCAACTGCTGTAGGGGGCAGGGGGACATCAGGCAGACCAGGCCCAGGGGTCTGATCTAGGGGGCAGAGAAAGGTAGGACACTATTGGACAGGCCCAGGGGTCTGATCTAGGGGGCAGAGAAAGGTGGGACACTATTGGACAGGCCCAGGGGTCTGATCTAGGGGGCAGAGAAAGGTGGGACACTATTGGACAGGCCCAGGGGTCTGATCTAGGGGGCAGAGAAAGGTGGGACACTATTGGACAGGCCCAGGGGTCTGATCTAGGGGGCAGAGAAAGGTAGGACACTATTGGACAGGCCCAGGGGTCTGATCTAGGGGGCAGAGAAAGGTAGGACACTATTGGACAGGCCCAGGGGTCTGATCTAGGGGGCAGAGAAAGGTAGGACACTATTGGACAGGCCCAGGGGTCTGATCTAGGGGGCAGAGAAAGGTAGGACACTATTGGACAGGCCCAGGGGTCTGATCTAGGGGGCAGAGAAAGGTGGGACACTATTGGACAGGCCCAGGGGTCTGATCTAGGGGGCAGAGAAAGGTAGGACACTATTGGACAGGCCCAGGGGTCTGATCTAGGGGGCAGAGAAAGGTAGGACACTATTGGACAGGCCCAGGGGTCTGATCTAGGGGGCAGAGAAAGGTAGGACACTATTGGACAGGCCCAGGGGTCTGATCTAGGGGGCAGAGAAAGGTAGGACACTATTGGACAGGCCCAGGGGTCTGATCTAGGGGGCAGAGAAAGGTGGGACACTATTGGACAGGCCCAGGGGTCTGATCTAGGGGGCAGAGAAAGGTAGGACACTATTGGACAGGCCCAGGGGTCTGATCTAGGGGGCAGAGAAAGGTAGGACACTATTGGACAGGCCCAGGGGTCTGATCTAGGGGGCAGAGAAAGGTAGGACACTATTGGACAGGCCCAGGGGTCTGATCTAGGGGGCAGAGAAAGGTAGGACACTATTGGACAGGCCCAGGGGTCTGATCTAGGGGGCAGAGAAAGGTGGGACACTATTGGACAGGCCCAGGGGTCTGATCTAGGGGGCAGAGAAAGGTAGGACACTATTGGACAGGCCCAGGGGTCTGATCTAGGGGGCAGAGAAAGGTAGGACACTATTGGACAGGCCCAGGGGTCTGATCTAGGGGGCAGAGAAAGGTAGGACACTATTGGACAGGCCCAGGGGTCTGATCTAGGGGGCAGAGAAAGGTAGGACACTATTGGACAGGCCCAGGGGTCTGATCTAGGGGGCAGAGAAAGGTGGGACACTATTGGACAGGCCCAGGGGTCTGATCTAGGGGGCAGAGAAAGGTAGGACACTATTGGACAGGCCCAGGGGTCTGATCTAGGGGGCAGAGAAAGGTAGGACACTATTGGACAGGCCCAGGGGTCTGATCTAGGGGGCAGAGAAAGGTAGGACACTATTGGACAGGCCCAGGGGTCTGATCTAGGGGGCAGAGAAAGGTAGGACACTATTGGACAGGCCCAGGGGTCTGATCTAGGGGGCAGAGAAAGGTGGGACACTATTGGACAGGCCCAGGGGTCTGATCTAGGGGGCAGAGAAAGGTAGGACACTATTGGACAGGCCCAGGGGTCTGATCTAGGGGGCAGAGAAAGGTAGGACACTATTGGACAGGCCCAGGGGTCTGATCTAGGGGGCAGAGAAAGGTAGGACACTATTGGACAGGCCCAGGGGTCTGATCTAGGGGGCAGAGAAAGGTAGGACACTATTGGACAGGCCCAGGGGTCTGATCTAGGGGGCAGAGAAAGGTGGGACACTATTGGACAGGCCCAGGGGTCTGATCTAGGGGGCAGAGAAAGGTAGGACACTATTGGACAGGCCCAGGGGTCTGATCTAGGGGGCAGAGAAAGGTAGGACACTATTGGACAGGCCCAGGGGTCTGATCTAGGGGGCAGAGAAAGGTAGGACACTATTGGACAGGCCCAGGGGTCTGATCTAGGGGGCAGAGAAAGGTAGGACACTATTGGACAGGCCCAGGGGTCTGATCTAGGGGGCAGAGAAAGGTGGGACACTATTGGACAGGCCCAGGGGTCTGATCTAGGGGGCAGAGAAAGGTAGGACACTATTGGACAGGCCCAGGGGTCTGATCTAGGGGGCAGAGAAAGGTAGGACACTATTGGACAGGCCCAGGGGTCTGATCTAGGGGGCAGAGAAAGGTAGGACACTATTGGACAGGCCCAGGGGTCTGATCTAGGGGGCAGAGAAAGGTGGGACACTATTGGACAGGCCCTGTGGTGAGAAGCCGGCAGATAGCTAACATAGTTCCCAAGGTGGAGGGAGATGAGGGAAGGATACCACAGTAAGTTCCCCCGGATCTTCTTTACGTTCCTGCAAGGAAAGAGAGTGAATCTACTGTTGAAACCAACGGCTCTACGAGGGGAGTGGGGTCCAGTGGTTAGAGCAGGAGTTGGCAAAAGGGCCTCCACGGGCCGGATCTGGCAAGCGGGTGGATCTGGCCTGCAGAGGCCTGGCTGCTCCCCCGCCCCCAGGCCAATTGCCCCCACGGGCCGGATCTGGCAAGCGGGTGGATCTGGCCTGCAGAGGCCTGGCTGCTCCCCCGCCCCCAGGCCAATTAGATCACTGCACACCCCTCCCCTCCTCCCCCCACATGACCCTCCCCCG